CCCTCTTGAATTGAAAATATTTGGAGTATTCTTATTTTGTGGCAGAAAGGTTATTTGTATAAGCTCAATAATACCTGTTGCATTGAATCAGAAATTGGAAATACTCATTATTGGACAGGGATTTGACTGGAATGTCATATCTGAAGATCAGTCAGAAAACTATGGAACTAAAGTGGATCTCACGTAAACCAACAGAAGCTCTAGAAAGATGGTCTGCCATCAGTACTGCCTGGCAGAGAGAATTAGAGAGGATATATGAAAGAATTCATACCATAAAATAACCTGAACTTTTCCAGCCCAGCATTGTAACCAGTAGAGATTGCAAAAAAGCAACCACACCAGGGGATTATTCTGAGAAAGACTTTGAATGAAGAAAAAGAGACTGATCTTTGCTAGCAGATGATATATCACAGAATACCTGGTAGGTAGGGCTGAATTGAGAAGGTTTATGTGTGACTACTGTGCTGGGCATTTGCTTTTCAACAATTTGAGTAGTTGACATGTAAATATTTTCTCAAAAATATTTAAAACCATACTGTTTCTGTTGTTATAGTCACAAACAAAATTATACAAAATTATAAGAAATATTTCAAACATTTTCTTTAAATTTCAGTATTTTGAAATTTTGAAAGTTGTTTATTAACTGTCAAGAACTATGGAGTATGAGCTGAAAATTTTTGATATGTAAAGTAAATGTGGAAAAATGTAAAAATAAATAAATAAATAAATTTAAAAATAAGTAAATAAATAAAGTTAAATAAAATAATTCTTAAATAAAAAGAAAAAAGGAAAGAAAAAAACTCTATAATAAAGAAAGAAAAAGCAAAACTTAAAAGCAGTCATCCAAGAAAACCAGGTTAAAAAAGTGAAAAGGGGAACCAGCAGTTAGCGTAATGGCTATGTCGCTGGATTCCCACGTAGTAGACCGTGGTTCACGTCCCGGACCCGGTGGCTTAGAACTCATGCCGGGGGCGTGTGCGTGCATGCCCAAGATCCCAAGAGGAGAATGGAGGAGAAGGGATTGTGGCGTGACCATCCCCCCTGGGGGGGTGATTTCTCTCTTTCTGTCTCTATGTCTCTCTCTGTCTGTGGCGAGCGCACGCACCCTATAGCAAAAAAAAAACTCTCAAAAAAAAAAAAAAGTGAAAAGGATGGGTTGACTCTGAAGCACAATGGTTAGCTACTGTGCAGAGGAAGCCAGATCCAGCATGAGCAATCTGGGTTTCAGTCATAGCCTTGTTGGCTTAAAACACATTGGCAGGTGGTGTGGTTGTTGAGGGCGCTAGACTCCCCCATGGCCACCTGCATTTTGAGTCCTGGACCTGGAGCTTGCTTTCTCGCTTTCCCTCTCTCTCACTCAGTCCCTCTCTGGTCAAATTAAAATAAAATTAAATAAAATAATTCTAAACACACACACAAAATTAGGGGAGACAGCCAGTGGCATGGTGGTTACGGTGGCTGGACTCCACATGGTTGACTGTGCAGTCAAGTCCCAGACCTATGACTTGAAACACATCCTCAGTGCCTGTGAGTGCCCAAAATCCTAAGAGGAGAATGGAGAAGGGATTGTGGCATGGTCATCTCACCTGGGGGGTACATTCTCATTTTCCTTTTATGTCTGTCTCTGACAGGCACATGCACCCTATAGCAAATTACAAAAAACAAATGAGCAACAAAAACACCACCACTTTGGGTATGTGCATATGCCCAGGACCTTGATAGAATGAAGAACGGGAAGAAAAGGATTATGGTGTAACTGGCTGTGTTGGAAGGTGATTTATCTTTTTCTCCCTCTAGTGTAAAAAAAAGTAAAATAATGGGAAAAAAATGATAATTCTGAGAGAACTATAGTAATTCCAAGGCTAAACTGACTAAGAAACTGGCAACACACAACAAATCAATACTAGAGGGACCTACAGATACTGAGTTATAGCAGATGATACTACATGATTAACCTCATAACAGAAGACTCCATTTAAAATAAATACCGTTCGTACTTTGTTAGAAACTGATGGTTCTTCACCAACCTATTTTGTGTATTTGTTGTCTCATATCATTTCAGATGTACACTAAACGTGTGACAGTGGCTTAGCTGTTGACCGAAAGTCTCTGAACACTCAGGATGACCAAGTTTTTGGTTCCCAACATGACTGAAGGGAATGGGATGATTAACTCCACTTAGTACATAACCAAAGAAATTCACTAGCAGCAGTGATCTGGGTGACCTTTTTCTCTGAGGGGATTCGAGGGTGGAGACTGGTGCTGAGAGTTGCTGGGATTGCCTCAGACACCTGAACAAGTGAACGCCCAGGCACATAGCTGAGAGCAGCATGATTCCTACAAAGAAGACACACACTTGGAGTCATCAGTTTGAATATTATGCCATTGTAACTCATGGGGGGCAATAAACAATACCTCATAGACATGTGGCTCAGTTAAGCTATGTTTTGGGAAGACACTGTATAAATGAGCAGGTTGCTACAGAAGGGCATATTTAAGAACCATAAGGGGAAGGAGTAGAAGCCATAATTTGTTGAGGTGAATTTAAACTTTGGCAACGAGGAGGTCCAGAGCTAATGGTGATGGCCTGAAGCATGCTCAGGAGGCAAGTTGTACCGGAGAGGCCCTTCCTCATCCTGTTCAGGTAGACCAAGTAGTTATTTTGAAAGTTTCATATCTGAAACACATCATCCATCACCATTAAAAATGCCAGAATGCTGGGCCTCATGTGTGTCAAGGCAGGAACGCTGGTGAAAGCTGCGGGCAGTGACGTAGAGTCTGGAGGTCCTCAGCCTGAGGATGTTGCCATTGTCTAAAGAACCAAAGGGAAGAAGCGTGAGATGGGAAAAGAAAGTCATCCACCCATAGAGCGGAAAAGCAGCTCAGATTATGAGAAAGGCCTCTGAACAAGAGAAAAAGGAAATTTTGAAGAACGACAAGGCCTCACGTCTTAATCTTATTGATGAAAAAAATACAGTGGTTTCAAAATCATCTAAAGAGAGACGCTTATGAATTAACTGAAAGGTATTCCAGTCGATTCAGCAGTGAGCTGGAGCAAACTGAGTTACATAATAGTATTAAAACGGGCAGGGCTGGTGGCACTGTTCCCGGAGACGGTCATCAAGCAGATGATGGCACGCAAGCAGCAACAGCATGAAAGCTACAGCCTCAATTCCAGACATTGCAAATGCAAGTAATCTGAAAACTTTTGGGGAATAGGATTTTGATTTGAAGAAAATGCCAAACATTAAAATGAGAAATCTTTGTGTAAATGATGCAATTTTTAAGAAGTACAAGAGAGGGACTTTATAACTATGGGCAAAGATTTAGAATTGCAACTGAAATATGAATCCAACAACTCGGATGAAGAAATTATTGCAGTGGCCTAACTGCCTTTACTTAAGGAACAAATAAATAACTGGAAAGCTGCAAGTGACACTCATTGAGTATGGCAAGTAATTCGCCATAGATCCAGGGATTTGCCATTTAGCAGTTCTAGTTCCTGATGGGAATCCCATCTGTAGTTTCAAAAATGTTGCAATATGTACTTAGAAACGAAGGTTGTTTTTCATTTACCTTTAGTCACTAAAATAGAAGTGATCTACAAAGGCTTTTATTTATTTTAAATGTTTGCTACAGAGCATGTGCGCTCACTGGAGAGAGAGAGGGAAAGTGAGAAATCACCTCCGAGGGGGATGGCCACGCTGCACTCCTTTTCCTCCAGTCTCCTCCTGGGATTTTGGGTATGCGTGAACACATGCGAGATTTTTAAGCTACCAGGTCCAGGACTCAAACCATGGTTGGTCATGTAGGAGTCCAGGGCTTTAACCATGTCACCTGCTGGCCCCTACAAAGGCCTTTTAATGTGACTTTGGAGAAGGAAGAACAATATGAGTAAAGACAAGAAAACCACTTTTAATTTTTTTCCCTCAGGTATACCTGCTTACGATTGCCTACTCTTGCATTTTGGAGAATGGACAGTAACCTGTTTTCTAAAGGGTTCCTATGGATATTTCTTCAGCTGTGACAGCAGCAAGATTGTCTTTCAGTAACACTGCTACAATAATCCTTCTCTTCAATATTATGCCAGATTCTTTTTTCATAGAGTAGGGAAAATGATGTAGAATTGATATATAACAATGGATTGTACAGTGCTATTCATTATCCCTAAGCCAGAATTAAATAAACAAATGGCTAAAAAACAAAACAAAGCAAAACAAAAGTTTATTCTTTATTATGTCAAATGGGATAAATAAATACGATTAATAAATAAATATGATTTTAGGGTAGCTTCTTATGATTGTGTATTTTCTACTTTCTCATTGTAGGAGGTTTTATTGCGGAGACAGAACTAAAGATTAGAGAACTGATGAGTTTATTAGTGTTATTTTTCCTTGCAGGAGATAACTTAAGCTGATATAAACTCAATATTTCAAGTATTCTGAAAATATGAATGTAATGGAATTTCGCTCTTCACAGAAGGTATTAAATGTAAGTATCCTGTAGTTTGTTTTCAGACGGGAGGTAATGCAAGTGTATTGGAGGGTTTCCAAGAAAAGAAAAAATAAACCAAGGGTAAATGAGGTTAACTCGATTATCAACTAAGTCTCGCTAACAACTTATTTAAAGTGTTGTAACTTTATTTCTGAAATTTAGAAATAAAATTCTCATAATTAAAAAAAAAAAAAGCAGCCTGTGTAGAAAGTCCCCCAAACCTCCACTCCTGCCCTCCAGCCATGTCATGCCCTGTACCACCTTGGGACTCTTTAAGGCATCCCTACCAAGAACTTCACCATATGTGGCTTCATTACCTTAGACCTCCCAATCTGAGCTGAATAAACTTTTCTGCTTAGAAATTATGCAGTCTGTGGTGCTCAGTTCAAGCAACAGGAAAACTGAAATGGACTAGAGCTACCATCCCCTTCCCTACGTGCCTGCCTGCTGCCTGGAGCGTTGGGGCACGTGCCACTTATTCACAAGATAAGCAAGAGACAGCAGGATATAGACAATGGTTAAAGTTTATTTCATGTGGAAACATTCTTTACAATAAATAAAACAGAGGGATAAAAAGAAGTCTAGTAGTATCTTCTTAATACAAAGCAAACACCTAGATTCTGGGTGGCTGGGCTCTCCACAGCCATTCCTCCTCCCTTGGGCTAGGACTACAGGCAGGTGGCTGGTGGTCCACTCAAGTTCCCCTGGGATGTGTGAACCCTCAGCAGACGTTGAGACCTTGGGTTTTGGATTCAGGGAAGCCCACACGAGGGCAGTACGGAGGCCATGGGAACATTTGCAAGAGCAAATCCAACTGGCAGTTCTAGCTGGTGATATGCTCAGAACAGCTTCAAAACAGAACTACAAGTTTGCAAGTGTCAGTTCTGAGTCCTATTTTTACTTCTGGGTCCTATACATCAACTGAACATGAATCTCTGCACCCAGGGAATTTTTTGAAAGCAGCTTTATTTGGGGACACCTACTCGGTTCCCTTCCTTGTTGGCTTCCTCAGATCATCTCTTCCCTGAGGAAGAGATCTTGTCCTCTAATTCTGAAGCAATCACACCCAGGGTAGTGATGGGTTCTTAACTAGTCCTTCAGTTTTAAGAGACCATAAATAGGCTTGGAGTCAGCTCTCCCTTCCCAGCATCTTCCTTGATGTGGGGTGCCTGGGGATCTTGGGAGGCTGGCCAAGCTGCAGCTTGAGTAGGTCCCAGATTCTATACGCTTCTGGCAGGGTTGCAAGACTCCTAGAACCTCAGGCCAGTGCAACTGGGGCCACAAGATCAGGGTTTTGGAAAGGGCTGTTGGCACTAAGCAGCACCCAGTGGTCCCGCGGATGCTACAAGGGTCCCGTGGGGAGGAAAGATCCTGCCCCATACCCACTTGCACAAAGTTTCCTAGAGTATTGGAATTCAGGATTTGCCACGCATTCAGAAAGGCACTATGAGCTCCTCCTGTTGCTCAAAGGACATGATCCCTCTTCCTAGGTCTTCCAAATGGCGTAAAGACTCAGAAACCAGGATAAAGGGCTGGGAGAGGAGAAGGGACTTCCTAGACAGTCTGAGTCACTGGGCATCCCCAGGCCCACCTTTTGGCCGGCAGATGGTCATAGGGGTTGGGCTGCTTGATAGAGGCGAGAAGAGGGGCCGAAGCGTTCCAGAGAAGGGGGTCTCAGGGAAGATGAACAACAATGACCCATCGGTCGCACTGTAGAATGAGAGATGTCCAGCCTCATAGTCCAGAAAGATCCCCACACGCCTTGGAGGGTCCCGTAGGGGGGCGAAGGCCCGTTCGGGTGAGTTGTAATAGCTCCCCAGGAATACCAGAATCCAGAACCCATTGCCAGCAGACAACTCACCCTTCTCCTTCCTGTTGACATTTTCTCTGCACACGCCCAGGGCCCAGCTGGTTCGATCACCAACCTCCACCTCCCAGTAGTGGCGGCCAGAAGTGAAGCGTTCCTGGCCCAGCACACAGGGGCCTGGGTCGAAGCGCTCTGGACTGTCAGGCAGGGCCTGGCGCAGGTCCCCCCGCTGTACACTCTTCCTGTCCTCCGACAGGACCAGCTCAGGGTTGGCGGTATCTGGGTCCAGAGTCACATCCCCTGCAGAGAGAGCCTCGAGGTCACCCAGGCAAGGCAGTGTGCAAGTCCACAGCCACCTGCTTGGGTCCTGGT